AAATCTTTTCTTACTCGGTTTTTCTTTTAGTAAGTGGGAATAAACAAGGATAGAAAAACTATGTAAATTTCTTCAGCAATTAGTTAATCATAAAATAACGAGTATATAATTTAGTCCTTCAATTTTAATTGTGTACTATTTTGATTTGTAAGTTTTTTTTCTGTTAAATTAAGTCTTCTTATTTTTGAAAACTAATTAAAAAAAAAAAAAAACACTACATCATTACTTCCATTAAAATATGTAAGAGTAGACGATGGGTTTAGGGTATAAGAGAGTTTGAAAGTGCAATAAAAAGTTAATAAAAGTTAATACAAGTTTAAGACTAGGGTTTGCGTCTAAATGCTTTTGGAAGTATAAGTTTGGTGTTTTAATTGGTCACTCAAGATTAGAAGTCAATTTAATTTATTGAACGTATAAAAGAAATTAAAATTGACATTTTAAATTTGTTCCACTTTCTCTTGCATACCAATTATCAATTGATGAAAAAAAAAAGTTAAATGACATTTTTATTATAGCATAATTCTTTTTTTTTTTTGTTCTATGATGGATGCTAGAAAACACCAGCTTGGTATAAGAATCAAAGGAATTAACGGTTGGAATTGTGTGATTTAAGTGATTGTGAGTGACGTGGAAGCATCAAGAATAGTGATGAGCATATGTCAATGTGCTATACTCTATAGCTAATCAACAGAGAATTTGTAGGGTTACGATCGTAAAACCATGCTTGTAGAAAATAATCGAATTAATTGTTTAATTGCGTTTGTTTCAGGAAGAAAAATATGAAAAAATAATTTAAAAAAAATAGTAAGTCTTATTCTACTATTTCTATTTATTTCTATATTTTTTTAAAGTTTTTTTTATCAAATCAATCAAATTTATATATAATCTTCAGAAGATTGTTTTCTCTTTTTTTATATATATAATTTAATAATCCTAATAAATTTAAATTTAAAATTGATTCAATTTTGTTTGATTAATGAAAATATTTTAAATAATATTTATATAAAATTTATAAAAGAAAGATTAATATGTGATTTTTTATAACATCTCCATTATAATTATATATTTTATATAAATCCATGAAATATATAAAATATGTATTCTTGTTTGATTCGGAGTCTCAGAAAATATAAAATAAAAATAAAATTTAAACTAAAGTTTTCTAAGTCTGGATCTCTCACCACTTAAAATATGATCTATATTTTTATCTCTAGTATATAATTTATGTATTAATATAATACTAATATACAAAAGGTATTTTTATATATGTTATTTTTTATTTTTAACTAATGGGATATGTAAATTTATATTAGAGTAATTATACATAAAAGTGTAAAAATTTACATAATTATTCAACTTATTATAATTGAAGTAAGTTTATGTTTGTATTTTGAGATGGTTTATTTTTTCTCCCTTAATAATCACTTGCGAGATTTGTAATCATTGATTATATTTTTTAAATTTACGTAAGTTATTATTATAATTGAAGTAAGTTTATCTTTGTATTTTGAGATGATCTATTTTTTTCCGTTAATAATCACTTATGATATTTGTAATCACTATTTATATTTTTTAAATTTTTTCTTAGGCAATGATGGTAATGATAGTAAATTCTTCTTTCTTTTACCTTTTTTACTTCTCTTCTCATGTCTTTTTGAGTTTTTATAGTTATTTCTCCTCTGTCTTGAGTTCCTCTAGACGTTCAATAATAATAATTCATTGGAGATATTCACATATTATTGTAATTGAAATCTAAAAAACAACCACAATTTCAATTTTTAATCACACACTATATACCCAAATGTTTCAATCCAATTAGGAAAAAACATTCAAAACAACTAATGGGTCATAATAGTGATATCATTGCCGCGCACCGTACGAAAAACAACCAAAAAACTCATATAGTGGTCGCAATCTTAGTCGCTAAAAAAAAGCCATTGTGCGCAAGGAAGACAAATATCTAGAGGAGATATAAAGTTAATTTTATGTTGGAGCATATCAAGTCTAATATAAAAGAGTTGGTTTTAATTTTAAAAATATCATTGCATTTTTTGTTACGTCAAGTAGTAACTAATATGACAAGAAAAGAATGACGTATAAAAAATATATTTTGCATTCGTGTGATTATAATAGTTGAAAACAATATTCACGACAAAACTGATTAGACTTGTGGTATAAAAGATGAAATCATAAACAAATTTTCCACCTTTCATTCATATTTTAAATAAGCAATTTACACATCTTTCCACCAAAATGTTATATCTCATATCATTACACTCACATTCACATCACATTTGACCCTACTTCCAAAGAACAGGTACATTAAATTAGACTTAAAGATTTTTACTTATCACACTCCCTTTCTTAAGTGAATATATCCAACATAAGTATATCATTGAAATGTATTCTTGGAGACCTAAAGGTTAATCCTTATAATAAATATAGTTCTCCTTTTACAAATTAAAAAACTTATTTCATTATCATTATTTATTTTTTAGTAATTTATTAATTTAAAATAATAATTAATCTTAATAATTAGATCTTAAAATAAGTGATTGTTAGAGATTTATTTTAATATTTACTCTTAGAATAAATAACTTTTTTGTCAAATTAATTTATAATACATATATATATTTTAATAAAATAATAGTATTATTTTTATTTAAAAAATAATAATTATTTTATAAAACGAATCGGTCCATAAACATATGGATTAGACTGACTTAAGTTTATAAACTAACCTGACCTAAATTCATGTAAATCATGACCTAAAAAGTTAGATCAAAATAGACCTAATTCAATTTAGGTCGTAATTTTTTGACCTAATCTAACATATTTCTTTAGTCTTTCATGTCAGTCCATCAAATTAAACCTATTTTGACACTCTATACACATAAATGCAAGAAAATTATTGTTTATAATAAACAAAGTCATACATGGAAAAATGTTTTCACTTAAGTATACTCTCACTTTAACCAAAGTTCAGCTATATTTTTTTTTCTTATGGAATGATTTCACTTGAGCAAGCATTGTTGCTTGAACAAAATCTCTTTTCACTTGAGTGGTCAAAACTTACTTGAGCAAAAATATTATAAAGTCATATCTTATATCCCAATAACATTTTTTTTGAGTGAAAAACTTTTATTCGAAGAAAAATAAATAAAAGACTTTTCTATATTTCAAAAATTTCGACGTTCAAGCGATTAAACTATCTCTTAAATGAAAAGACTTCAAAAAGGACCATCATGCTTTGTTGAATTTTGACTTAAACAATAATATGTTGTTTAATGAAGCAAAAATAAAAAGTTCAACACAAATTCAGAGACACCAAATACATTTATGAGAGATAAATCCTGTTATACAATTTACTTCCAACCAAAGCATGTTAAACTTAAACTAACCTAGTTATGTTTACCTTAACATGTTCAACAACTCATATTTATAACTACAATATAATTATCCTAATCAATTACACAATCTAATTCCTATAATTTCATATAATGTGATCAAATTATCTTCACGCTTCAAAACATCTATCCTAAGAAGTTAGAGGACTTAAAACTACTCTCTCTTACCTTAAAATAACCTCTCCAAGAGAAAAAAATTCTCAAACTTATCACAATACACAAGATCTTCAAACTTGCTCAATTAAGCCTAAATTTAATAAACCTAACACATAATTTAGAACTTAGACCAAGAAAAAAATCATCTTACGCCACTAATTTACACATGCAAGCAATCCCTAATTATATGCACCCAAAAACCCTCTCATACAAATACTCTTAAAAATGGGTAAAGAGAAATTTACGTTGATAAAAAATTTAATCGGTTGAAAATCTTTTTCTCGTTACAAGAACATAATAATGTACTTGAATATATATATATATATATATATATATATATATATATATATATATATATATATATAAGTAAAAACTTAAATAAAAATCAGAAAATTTAAAACTTAAAGAAATAATGGTTTATAAAAAGTAAAACCTGAAATATAAAAAAATTCTATTAAATTTTATTTCATTTGTTAAACTGGAAAATTTTAGTCCTCACATTTTTGCTAAAACATTGAATCCGTTAATATATTAAATAATTTAATAAAAATAACACAGTATCTTTCAGTAAAATATATATTCTAACTTGAGAAAATCAAATTTCAATTTCTTGGTAAAAATGTTGTCCAAAATAAGTTGTAACCAAAGACTACTATTGAAAAATTATGCCGCCGTTTATGTTATTATTTAAAAGTTAAACATATACTTCAAAGAACCTACATGTCTCTATTAGGTTAAAACTTTTATTATTTTTATCTTTGCATACTTCACCTACAAAATCTTCTTTTTATTATTATTATTTTCTTTCCTAAACAGAGAGTGCCAAAATAAGGTCATTTTCTAATTAAAATAACAGCTTAAAGAGGGAGTCACTTTTCTCATGAAAGTTCATAAAATACAAACGTCATGAAACAAATTCAGTTACTAGTTAGTAATGTCTTTCTAATAAATATACCAAGAGAACGTATATATACATACATACATACACCATGGAGCCATATGTGCAACCAACCACAAAACATCAAACAGGAAATGAAACTAAAGAGAGGAAATCCCCCCCTCCCCCTCAAATAGAGGCTGATTTCTGAAATACAATGAACAACTATAACCTAAAATACAGATACTATTTCTACATTTTCCCCTTCAACAACTTCTATCTATCATACACCTATATAATCAAATTATTGAAACTATTTGAAAGCACAGAAAAGCTTAAAGAAAAATGTTGCACCATACCAGCAGTTGGCAGAGTAGAAAAATCATAGCATCATCTAATGTTTATAGCACCACAACTAGGCTTCTAGAGGAATTCAATGTCAAAAGACACCACCTTCCATTGAAACTCATTTAGTGCACATGATTGATGCATCGGTCTTCAAGAGGGTCATCATCATCATCAGGCTTGAAAAAAGTCCACAAATGGAGCCTTGCAATGCTTCACTCCCTTGGCCTGGCAAGCCACAGAGAACTCAGGGCTCGCAGCCGCGAGAAATAGTCGCTAATTGCCAGAAGAGCACGAGCTGATTGCCTCGTCGTTAATATCCGAAGCATTTGTTGTAGTGTTTGCTGCCTCAGATTGTCAGCCTAGAAACATCATGTTTGGAATAGTTTAGGTCTAATTGTTGTGCATGCATGTCATTGAATACTTTTACTTCCACCTAAGGCATGCAAAAATATGCAATGAACACTGTAGAAAGTGTGAATATGAAGTCCTAGTAACACTAATATTTTCAATCATTCAATCTAAATTTATACTATTTTTTCTTTGATTTTGGACTTTGTCAATTAGTACTGTTTTTTGACACAACTTGTATGTAACAAGACGACACAACCTCCACAATCCATCGAAAAGTCATAGGCAGATTGATTTTGTATTTATTTATAGCCTTTGTCAGACTTTTCTACCAAATAGACAATTCTTCATTCAAAGCTGAAACATAATCTTTCTTTTACGGAAAAGAAATAGGGAACTCCATGTAAACCTAATAATCAATAAGATTTACCCACATCTATGTATGCATCCTCCCTCCGTTCTAAAACAATAGTCTAAAGGTTGAGAACTCTTTAGTTCAAAAAGATAAAAGTTGAGAACAGAATCAAACTGAAAAACAAATGGAAGTTTGATGACCTGGCGAAGAAAACCCTCAAGTGTACCAAGCTTTCCCATGGCCATAGCCATTTGCCCCATGTAATTTGCCACATTTCCCGAGGAGCCTGATGAGCTGGGTGAACCATTAGCCAATGTCTCAGACAGTGATTGCTGCAATGCATCCATCCCTTGGGAAAGAGCATCTTCAGCCTGCTGGGATGAATGCTGCAAATTGTATATGCCCATCAATTGTTGCTCAGTTAAAGGCTCCAACTGACTCACAAGAAGCTGCAACAGTGTCAATCCAATCTTAGACAGGCATACCGTGATAAAGGTGAATGAAATTTTAAACTCAACACTAGAATCAATTGTTGTCAAGATAAAACTGTCAAAATTGACATTTCTTCTTCATTTGGAACCTTTCTCTACAATATCTATAGGTTATATATCTTGATTCTTGTGTTGCAGTGAATATGATGACTGTTCAACCACATATAAGTGAAGTCTTTTTCAACCTAGAAAAAAACATGTAATTTCAGAACATGGATAAATGAGAAACTTCTCACCTTGAGGAGTTCAGACGAGCGAAAGCCTCCAATCCACATGAAACACCTCTCAGCCGGAGTCTTCCACATTCCTGACAGAATGTGGAAAACATCAGCTTTTGCTGCAATACCTTTCAGCCTGAAGATATCGTCAAATTGTGCCATGAAATTATCAACAATTGTTCGAAGTTCAATATCTCCAGCATGAGAATTTATTGCAGCCCTTAGCTCATTTGTTTGCCGGTTATGCTCTTCTAACCATCGTGCATATTCTACATCAAACGCCATAGCACCTGTAAAACAAGATGATTAAATAGATTTAGTATTTGAAACAGAACGCAAACTTCTTCAAAACCCTGCCAAGACCATCCTTGCTACTCAAACTATAACTATTCCAAATAGAAGATAATTTAATCCAACAAAATTTTTCAAGATTGACCATACAATTGGAGGTACAAAAATGTTTAAATACCATTTCCACTCATTGACTGGGCCTGATCTCCAGTGCTTGATATAAATATTCCCTGCAATAAGTTAATAACCAAATTGTAACACCTTATCTAGTAATGGAATTCAATTAATGAAAGCAGACAAAAAAGGGGACTAGATTGGTACCAAATTTGGAAAGCACACAAAAAATATAAGTGCAAAACCAAACCTGCTGGCGAGCTCGCTGGAGCTCCTGCTCCAGTTGGGTCAGTTTCAGCCTACTGCTCTCTAATTGTTGCACATATACCTGAATGAATAGAAAGAATATTTAAAAAAGTAGTAAGGAAATATACACAAAACATATGACAAATTGTTGGATCTCAACAATATGTCACATTGAACAACTAACCAAGTTAAGACAATAATTTTAAAAGTTCATCTATAATTAATAGAAAAGCCCTTACCTTTTTCTTCAGTCGGCTTTTCCTGGCAGCCTCGCGATTTTGAGCTAGCCGTCTTAATGTCTGAATGAAAAATAAAATAGAAAAGTTAACACTTAGTAACAAAAGACTTATGTCATTTGAACACAATTACTGCATACAACCTTTTGATCTGATTTATCTTTAGATCTATCACTGGATTCACCCCTTTCAGGCTGCCAAACAACAATGAAGCACCATATTTTAGAGTACAAATAAGCAAGCTTTTATATGTTTGACAAAAAAATTGGAATGATAAATTATTCTTAAAATCATAACTCTTGGGGGCATAACCATTAGTCATTAAATTGATAAATAAGCTAAATCTACAATACAGAACAGACTGTATTATACAAGAAAAATAAGTACCAGTTGATTTTTGTCTTCGGTGTCATCTGTTGAAGTATCAGTCCTGGGACTAGCATCAGCCATGTTGGTCTCTCCCCAATTCTCACGATGACCAGATGTTGAAGCAAGAGTTGTTTGAGAGTCTTTCTGTAATGCCAATGTCTGAGACCCAGCAATAGCTGCAGAGAGGTTTATATCCGATGTTGCAATTGACTGCACCTTACATGTAAGAGAACAGTGTGAGATGTATGAATCCATTATATTTTGTAACTTATTGATTCTCGAAAGTATGTAAGCACATATAGAAGATAAGAAATTACCTTATTTAAAGCACCAAATTGAATATCAGCACCCAGAGCTTGGCTATTTGATTTCATTTGATTAAACACCGGATCTGAAAGACAATATAAAAACAAAAAGGGCAAATAGAAGTTGGATAAGGTACCAACAGGAGTATATATATATATATATATATATATGAAGTTTCTGAGGCAAATCAAACATTTCTGGTTTAATGACCAGTTATTTCATTCCAACCACAATCATACATCTTGTAATTGCTTTTCAAGGATCATAGTTGAGGACACACGCATTTCCTCTGGAAAATGTAGAACATAAAGATAAAGATTTGAAAGGTAGAAACATGTGAAGGTTCATGTTAACAGCTATGGAACAAGTGAAAACCATACAAGAAATATGAATTTTCAATATAAATTATACATCACAATCAGGCACAGATTTGTGGCAAAAGAATACTACACCATGGTGAATTCACAAAGTTGTGCTTAAGCAAACAAAATTCGACCAAAAAAATAAAGATAACAGATTTTCTCCAATAGATACAAATAAAATGATATCCTTATCTTAAAATGCAGCATAGAAGCAGCTTATGGGAAGAACTGGAAAGAATATCATATTATTGCTTAGTTGGTATACAACAATCTAATTTGGCACAGAAGCCAAACAAATGAATCCTGAGTACTGACTGATGAGTGCATACAGAATACAAGATAAAGTGAGGCGCATCTTTCATAGAAATAAAGATATTACCTCAAGAGGTACAAGATATAGAATGGAAAGCTCATGTTAGGAGCAAGTCACAAACAAGTGCAATCACTTAAATTGGATATGAATCTGCCTTAAACGCTCAATAGAAAGTACAACAATACAAGCAAAGGGATTTTGAGACAAGATATTAAATTAATAAAACAGCAAATAACAGCAACCATGAATACCACATAATAAAAGGAGTGCAACAGTTTTAGATCAAAACACGAACAACATACTTCTGCTAAGATTAATGCTATCCTCGACACGGAATCCAAGAGATTGCTCCAGGGTTCCAAATTCAGAAATGCGGGTAGGATGATGAACATTAGTTGCGTCTATGCCCCTGAAACCAAAATCACCAGAACATGTAAAAAAGGTATCTGAATGCATAACCAATCATCCAGGCAAGGCTGAGAAAGCCTTGCAGTCATTGACAAAATACATTTTTCCAAGCTAAACAAAAGTCATATTTGACCACTCAACATCTAATAACAAATACATGAGAAAACTCAAACACAAAAAGTCATAGTAAACTTTTAAGAAAATATGAAGCCACCAAGGAAGGAAAACACGAGCCTACAGTACAGGGTTGTATAGTTTCAACTACTTCCAAGAATTATATAGAAGAAACTATGAGGGATAAATAAATCAGCATAATGAAGTAAACCGGAGAATTTTCTTCCACGCTAGAATAAATAATCCCCAATATACAGATAAATTAAATATAAAATAGTTTTCATTATTTTCCCGTCCTCTGTAACCAACAAGACCTAAACTTCACCAGCAACACAACACCGTTCCCCAACAACATGAATAGTTTCAGTTCGTTACATAAGAGTTCTACTAAACTAGAAATATACCACATAAACAATCTACCAACATGAGAAATATAAGACAAAACAAACTTGATCCCAGAACAAAAATAAACATTAAGCAGCATAAGGGTCCTCCGGAAATTTTACATGGAACTAGAAGAAGGCAATGGAGGAGCGTAGCTTGGCATCCCGTTCACAACCTTGTTGGTGTCCTTAGTGTTAAGGTTAACTGTTCTACTTCTGCTACCCATCAATGACCATGCTCAGCACAACGACCATCATATCTCTCCACAAATCTTAACCCCAAAAGACCCTGAACCCATTTCACAAAGCACACAACTTTAGTCAAGCTCACCTAAAGGGAAGAAGAGAAACTGAAGCACACAAAATCTTCAGCAAGTAAACCACAATTTAACAAGCTTCTCAAAGGTAAAATTCTAGACAAACTAACTTCGTGTGAGCTCGGGAAACAGGAATCAAGAACAAACAGCCTCAAATTCGGTGTCAGAACATTGGAACCAAAATAAGTGGTGGAAGAACAGAAAAAATAAATAAAAAATAAATAACTGTAAGACAGCATCACTCTCCGTACGCCTGTTCGAAACAAAGACAAAATTATGGAACTCAAGACCAAAAACCTCTGCAGCATCAACATACCCCCCCAAAAAAAATAAAAATAATTTTTTTTTTGAAAATTAAAACAAAAGGCCCACCTTCTAAAAATAAAGCTCAACAACATAAACTTGCAAAAGGGAAGCGTCCTAAATTTGATATCAAAAGGGTAAAAATTAAAAAAGGGATCTTGAGCAACCTGGTCGCATGAAAATCGAAACTATATGAACTTTCTACAGATTTAAACAACACCCAGAAGAAGAAACCGATGGAATAATAGCCCTGCAAACCCTAACGAGTGACAAGTTGACGATAAATACCAAGACTTTTTGACTTTTTTGATTGAAGGGAATGGCACTTCAATATTTTATTATTATAATATAATGATGTTACACAGTACAATTTCATCTCTAACCCTGGCAAATTTTTATATGCTTTTTTTAATAATTTATTCGGTGATTGTTGCTTATGATTGAAAACAAATTTTATGTTTTTATTACCACACCACACACTCAAAGACGAGCATCATCAAGTTGATCTTTTTGGTGTAATTATAAATATTTTATGTATGGAGGGTGGAAAGAGAGAGAGAGAGAGAGTGGAAGAAGCGTGACGTTCAGACCATTCCATTTTCTTGCATACGTCCTTTTCGTCTGAAACTATCCTCCATTTGAAAAAAAAGAAAATAACTTGCCTTTTTAAATTCTTCAAATTTCAGTTAACTTTACCGCTTTTTGTTTTTTGTTTCCATCTTTCTTTTTACCCTCCGCTTGTATTTTCATCGCCACACCACACCATACCATACCATACCAGTGCTGCCACACTTTTTCTGATCATATCCTGTTCGTTCATTCCTTTTCAAGCATTATTAATAAGGAAATATTTCATTTTTTTTATTTAAATGCAAAGAAAAAAGATTCTTCTTTTAGTGTGGAATTGAAGTAGTTGGAACAAAAGAAACTTAGAAAATACCTTTCAATTATTTTTATTTTCTATTCTGAAATTTGATATATTATGCTTAAAAATTAATGGAGACCACTATAATGTGATTCTTCCATTATATACTACATAATATAGTTAAATATAAGATTCAAATAAAATAATGAATGATTCAAATCTTTTATCAATCTCAAGCAGAGGAATTGTGTAATATTCAATAACAAGGACAGGGAGAAGGAGTGATAATCAATACGAAAGAGAGAAGGAGATTGAATGCACATTCATCAAGAACATGGGAAAAACTCAACACAATTTATGATGAAATATAAAGTGGAGTTGAAATCCTGTAAATTATAATTTTTAGATTAAAAAATGAATTTGAGAAAAAAAATATTTTCATTAAACATGATTAAAAAATAAAATAAAATAATTTATTTTTAATTGTTTTATTTATTATTTTAATATTGTTTTTTATTATTATTCTTATAATAATATATCTTTTGATTATTTTTTAAATTCAGCACACATAATTGATTTTTTTATTATAATTTATTAATTGTTTCATATAATTAATGATGCATCTGTATTTTTTTGTTGTTGTGTTTTTCTCTTAGAGAACAGATTGTATCTGTATGTGATTTTTAGGTTTGACAAAACAATAATAATTCTAATGTTAGTTATACATATTAAATAAAAAAAGAGAGAAATATATCTATAAATATTTTTATATTGATTAGTTTATAATACGTTATCTAGTTTTCAATTAATCAATTAAGTTTTACTATTAATAACTAAATATATAAGTATTTTTGAGATGTTTTTTAATATTTGTTTTATTTTTAGTTATTTTTCTTGTATGGAGAATAGATCTAAATGTGTAAAAGCATTATTAATTATAAGTAAAGAGAGAGAAAAAAAATCTTTATAATAATTTTGTTTTGAGATCTTTATTTTTTTGTCATATTTAAGTGTAAATTAAAGGCTTGTATTATCAAAATAAGAAAGTTAAATAATATATAATTATAAAAAGACAAACAAACTTTTTTAAGAAAAAAAAAGACTGAAACCTATTTTTAAAAAGTATAGTTTCTTGGAAAATTGTTTTCTAAAAGATAAAACTAAATGTGAAAGACAGTAATTTAAAATTACAGTGTAGTAGTGAAGAACATATACACTTTTCACTTTTCAGCTTTATACCAACCATTTTACCCAACAGAATCACCATTGACTCATCTGCGGAATAACACGTGAGTTATTATTACATAAAAATTGCTATTAATTTATACATCAAAGTTTTGATGCCACACCAACATCCACTCCTTTGGCTCATTCATTTGGCGTATTCAATCACTAGCTTTTCCCACCACACCTATCTCCAATTATAAAAGGGGCTGCTAAAGTTTCATTACTTTTTTTAATTCAGAAATTATCATGTATACTATATAACATATTTTTATTCTATTATTCTCGTTATTTTTTCACCTTTCTAAAACTCTCTATCATGAATAGAGTTCTATAAATAGTACATGTGCTTTCTGTTTTGAGCTATCAGTTCTCTTTTATAACATATTAGGTAATTTAAATGTCAGAGATAAACTTATGTTTTATAATTTTAATATTTCAAATTTTCATATTTATTTATGTTTTCATATTTTTTTATTATTTATTAATAATATATTATTTAAATCTAAATTTATTCAAAATAATATAAATTTATTCATTACGAAACTGCATTTATTTATTTTGTTTTAACATTAACATAATCGACGTAGCAAAGAATAGGGTTATAGAAAACAGTTTTCTAAATTAACGAATGTAAGAATTGTCCGGACATACTTAGATTTCCCTTTTCAAAATCACGTAATCCCACCTCTCATTTTCGCGTATGAACAATAGTAATAAATTTTAAAATATATAAATATCAGTGTAAGAAAACTTTTTATGCTAATTATTTTAATTTTTTTTATATCAATTCTACATTTCACATTGATCTAACTAAAAAAATTGTATTTTTATTTCGATTATTAAATAATCTAGTAAATAATTACTCGATTATATAATAATATTTTTTATGAATATTTGATCCAACAGTTTTAATACAACAATAAATTTCAAAATAATTATTTATAAAAAATAATTAACATAAAATCTAGATAAGTCTCGTTCAGTTGAAGAAAATTCTTTTATAAGATAAAAAATCATCATGATAATTAATTTAAAATTTATTTAAATATTTTAAAATAAACCATGAAATACAAACTAATGCAGAAAATTAAAATAATATTTCCATACATTATCTTTGTTGTAAATAAAAAAAATAAATTTGTGAAAAGTGGTGGTATAAACATAAAAAGACAAAAAATAGATAAATATAACGAGAAAATAATAAAACAAAAAAAATAATAAATTGAGTGTAGTTATCTAACGTACAAGAGACAAAATATATATAAAAAATAAAGAATATGAAAAGTATAAAATAAATTTGAAAAATTTAAATCTTGATTTAAATAATCATATTAATTATTTATTATAATGATTTAATTTTTAATTAATATAAAAAATGTATTGTATTTAAAATTGATAAAATCAATTTTTATATCGATTTAAAATTAAACCCTCGTTACAAATACTTATTATAATTATTCAAAATACAACCGTCATAAAAAAAATATATAAATTTATATTTTATAAAATCATTTATAAAAAATATTTATTGTAATTATTCAATTTTAAATTAATATAAAAAATTAAAACTGAATTATCATAATAAATATTTTTAATATCAATTTAAAATTAAATTGTGGTAAAAAAATTTAATTATAAATCGGGATAAAATATTATTTTTATGATTAATTAAAAATGGGTTACACATATATAAAACTAAATTATATATTTAAATAATTAAATCATATCATATTTTAACACATTCAAGTGATTTACTTACTTAAAAGTATAATCGATGCAATGCAATTTACTTTTTAAAGTTTCCAATGTATGCCTTAAATACTGAACTCAATCATACCATATAATAAATTTTGGATTGACATGATCTACTTTTGTTAAAGTTTCGATTAGTAATAATAATAATAATAGCATCAAGCTTTATCTGAAATGGGAACACGAGGAAGGAGCCATGCATAAGCAAACAATGGTAATAATCATACATTTGTTTTTAAGACTCAAATTCAAATCTAAAATCTAAAATTCTCATCACAATAATTTTTTTGTTAAGACTTAAATATTAAAGTAATACCATATGATTCATTGGAGATATAGAAGAAAAAGTGTGCCTAATGATTTGGCTTCCTCGTGTGAACGCTGAAGGTCCCAAGTAATAATTATTCACCACAATATTTACAATTACATTTGAGTTTGGAAAATGAGAAAAAGAAAGATAATTTATTAATTTGGATGGGTTTAGAATTTTGTTTGTAATTCAAACTAAAATAGTTCAGCTAAAAATAAATTTCTTTTTGAATAAATAGATGGAAACGTATAAAATATATTTTCACCATTGGATTTAACTACAAATCTAATTAATATTCTGTTTGTGTCTAAATTCAAATTTAAGAAAAATGTATTCATGTTCAATTTATTTAACTGTAAAAAAAACATTATCTCATTTAAATTAAAAAAAATGCTTTTATCTTTAAATTTAAAATTCATTTATAATAAATACAATTGAAAATAATTTAAGAAA